ACATCAGAAGCCTATAAGAGATCTGCTGATTAAGTACGAGTCTTATCTCATCCATTACAAAGTTTGCACGTGAATCCATCTCAAATTCTTCCCCAAATCAAAACAGCCCCTGTAAAAGTAGCATTTTCTCTTCCTGATTTAAAGGCTACTAAGCTATCTGAGAACAGAATAAGAGTAATAATCTAAAAGTAACAGAATTTTTCCGAAACACTACATCGTAGCTATTGACGAGCAAGGGGATTACATAGAATCATAATAGCACTGTAAGATATTTTTTCAATACACATTTACACAGACTGGCTTCTAGGATAATGTTAGTAACATCAGCATCTGACCAACAATATGAATTGAACATTAATTTGTGAAACATAGTATCAACTTTGTGGATAATGAATCTGGCTGTCATATAAATGAATTAAGATTACAATGTCATAATAGATTACGTGGAGGCATGTTAAAGCGACATTGCAGACTTCTAATCGGAAATGCAATTTGGAGTTTTATTTGGTGGTTTATATATTTTTCCATCATTGTTCTGAAACAGGAGAAGATGCTTTTAACAAATTTGTGTTGAAATTGTTTTGGAGCTATTTGAAATTGGTATTTCTGCTGTTCAAAGAAGCATTTATTTATGGTAAGTGCATTTTGTTTTATTCTTGTTCTTATTAGTAGAACGTTATTTGTTTTTTTAGTATGAATTTCTGTCGTTATTGTTGTTTTTTTTTAATTGTTTGAAATTTATTTTAGTTTATTTTCTTGATTAGTGCATTGTTTTTTTGAATTGTTTGAAATTTATTTTAGTTAGTTTTGTTGATTAGTGCATAATGCCTACATTGTGTAATTCGTAAATGTTTTGTAAAATTTAAACAGAACGCTGTGTACACGGTATTCTTGAAATTCATTGTTGTTAGTTAATTTATTAAAGCGAGGTGTGCGTAGATCGTAGATTTGTTTGTTACCTTGACTGTGCAATGTGTAGACTTTTTTTAAGTTAAAACATATCGCTGTGTACATAGATTCTTGTCAAATATTTTTGGTTAGAAACTTTACATTTCTGCTACCTAAATTTTTTGTTTTTATTTTGGATTTTTAGCTTAAATTGTGTGTTCAAAACATTGTTTTTGCATACGTTTTTGGAGACATTTTTGGCTTAAAGTTCGAAATGTAGACAAAAAATTTAGATAGCAATATGTCAGCGTAGTTTCTTTCCAAAAATGTTTGCCGAGAAATTTGGCAACCTGAGGGTGCATATTTTGCACAGCAATTTATTAGAAAGAAACAATTTTAAGATGAAAAAAAAAAAAAAAAAAAAAATCTGCATGACCTATATTTACATTTTTACAGTTAGTGGATATTATTCAATTATGTAATAGTTAAATATAAACCATTTATGCCTTGAACAAAAGTAAATGGGATAGTTCTATATCTCCTAATCTACTGGACAGATAGTCAAAATTTAACTTGCATTTTCCATGTCTCGAAAGTGCAACTTAGGATATATTATAGATTTATATATAGCATTTTTCTAACATAGATATTTTGACATGAAATCGGACTTCTTCTAAAATAATATACCAATTTTTTTTCCATATTTTGATACTACGACTCAAATTATGCCTATATATTAAATTTTGTAATTATTTGTGGGAAATTTATCTTGGCACATTTTTTTCAGTTTGCACCAAAAACAATTCGAATGGCGAACTTCTTAATTTACAACAACTTATTTCCCTTTCCCTTTTTTTTTTTTATTATACACAGGCAAAAAAAAGGTCATTGTTAATACTTTCAAATAATTTTAATAAAGATTCGGCATTACTAACGCTTGTAACACTTATGGCAAATTTCAAAACACACCAATATGTAAATTCATATATATCTAAGGAAATTTTGAATAATAAACTGTTATTTTTTGCAGGTATGCTTAGAAATACATCTTAAGGTATTTCTAAGTAAGCAGGTATGCTTAGAAATATTTCTTAAGTTGATGATGGTGAAAATTGTGTAGGTTATAATTCAAAATTTATAAAAATTAATTTTAAAATAAATCATAAAAAATGATGAGTTTTATTTGGAATGAACCTAAATTTTGAAATGTGAAAGGAAGAATTAAATAAATTTAATAAGAAAAAAGATATTAATAAATATATATAAAATTCAATTAACATAGAGGAGCTAAAATTTTAAGAGCTATTTTTTTAAAAACTACTCATGCGGTTTTTACAAAACATGGCACTCTAACATAATTTGAGTCATAGAATTGAAATATGTAATAAAATTGATATGTTATTTCAGGAAAAGTCCCAGTTTGTGCCAAAATATCTATGTTAGAACAATGCTATAATATATGAATCTAATATATATCCTAAGTCGCGTTTTCGAGAACTGGAAAATGTAAGTCTGACAGTCAATCCAGTAGATCAGGAGATATAAAACTACCCTTCCTTTTTTCGTGTGCGTGTGCGCAAGGCGTATATCCACGTGTCTGGCTTGGCTTTTGTCATGTGCATATTTGAAAATATGCCAAAAACAATCAGACTGAAACTGAGGCTGCAGTTAATCAAAAAGTACTGAAATAACATTAATTTTAATATATAAATTCATAGGTATATTCAACACATCTGTCACTTGAATTATGAAAGCATAAAAATAGTCAGCAATTACATCACAGTCTTCAAGTTTAAACATTTTAGTGTTTTTTTTTAATATATATATATACACCAGTAAAACCAACAAAGATGAAATAAATATGCATAAAAAACAAATACTCTGTTGCCAAATAAATCTTTTAAATACAATAAACATCCAACACTTAGAATCTTTGAATTATATTTTTTTTTTTTTTTTTTCAAAATTTATAAAAATATAACTGATTTGTATAAATACAATAATATTTTTTACAAAGAACTAAATTGCCTCCCTTTTAGGTATTTTATAAAAAGTATAATTATCTGCTTTTACATTAAATGATTGATAAAGAAATTCCTATGCTTGAAAACTTTTCTTTATGAATTCTAAACAGCTAGTTTTTATTGCATAACAGTCAGATACATTTTTTAATTCCTATGGTCAGAAACTTTGATTTGTTTGTTTTCATTTTAAATTACACTGCTCTAATGAACAAACACTACTCAGTTTTTGAGTTTTGGGGATCTTCAGTAGGAGGTTTAATTAATTCCATCTTACTTTTCTCAAGTTTTATATAGCATTCAACTAAAGGATCCAAAAGTTCCTTTAATTTAGTTTTTGGGAATGCCTTTTTTTCATCAGAAAATAAAGCTTGATTAACTTCTCTCACTGGGAAATCATCTGTTTTCAGGCCTTTCTCTCGGCAGGATTGCAAGATGGCTAATAACAGTGCTTCACTTTGTACTGCATCTGGTACAGCATTAAGGGCTGGGACATCACAAGATTCAAATTTATGGTATACTGCATCACGCAACAATGAAAAGAGGTGAAAATGTTCTTGCTTCAAAAGATTTAATTCATTGACTATGCACAGAGGTTCTGATATCAATAAAGAACTCAAGGACTTATAATTTAATTTGTATATTGTTTTCATCGAATAAAACCCAATGCTCGGAATGCAAGAAGAATGATACCACATACCAGTAACTGGAGAATATTGAGTTAAATCAAAAGCCTGCAATACCTGCCCACTTTTTATACTGTATACAGACAAATTCTTAACATCATCTGAAAAAACAAACAATGTATTCTGCATTATAAAATATTCCTCTAAATTTCCTGCAGTGATATTCAGAGTAATTTTGCTACGAATTTCACCATTTGGTGCAACTGCAAGCAATTTATCATTATGTAAAAAATAAGCAAAATTTTTCACACTATCTAAAATCTTGCAAACTCTGACAGTACCACTCTGATTCCACATGCCTAATGTTTTTGTACAGAGTGAAATAAAATCTGCTGCAGTGTCAATAACAATACCCCTCCATAATAATTTTCCATCAATATGGAAAAGCCAAATATGTGAACGAGCAGACAAGATAATGTACAGATTGATAGAATTTGGAAGGTGTGGTATAATGCAAATATTGTCTCTTATTTCTACAAGTTCAAATTCTGGACAGTTTTTTAACAATTTCTGAGGTACACCAATTGCACTCTGAGTTATTTCTCTCACACCATTTAGTGGTATCTCACGTTTATGCAAATCAAAACAAGTATCACCATTACCTGTTTTCTCTGACCAATATATCATATTATGCTGTTGCGACACTAATGCTTTCGTCAACACAATATGATGATTGTTGTTACTATTCGGAGATACAATATTAACATTAAAATACCCTATTCTAGCCCATTCAAACAGAATAATCCTATATTCAAATATTTGAACATCTCCATTGATTAAAACTATAAACATTCGGGTTGACGTGCTTTCAGTATCGAAAAATATATCCAGAACAGGAGAAACGGTTGTAAGCAATTCATCGGTATCAGCTTCGCTAGGTGATGTACTGAAATCATAAGGTCTAGCATCACAAGTATGGATTTTAGTGTCATTCGTAGTGAATACAATATGCCCAGGAGTTATCCAGAGACGAGAACTATCCTGTGGATCGAAATTTTCTTCGAAACGTTTAATGAGCAGCTCATTGAATATACCACAAGATTTGAAACAGTCTTCAATTTTGAACATTCTAGATTATATATATAAGTAAAATCAACAATGATCTAATGATGATTTTCCAGTCGTAAACATATGAAATCAATTTGGGAGCACAAATCCTAAACACATGATACTCTGTTGCCGAATGGTTATCTTAAATACGATAAACATCTAATATTTAGAATATCTCAGAATTATATTTTTCTCAAAATTATATTATTATTTTATTTTATTAAAACAAAATTGATTTTTTTTAAAACAATAATAGTTCTTCGATAATTATTCCCTAAATCAAAGAATCAGACAAAATATCCTGTCTTGCCTGTAACTAAAAAACACTGCGAATATAACCGCGAATTCAGATGAATGCTATTCTTCTGGAAGTGTTGATAGCAATTGTGTACTATTTGTGAGATCTATTTTGTTTTTCCATTTTCTGGTTTCAAAATGGCACATTCTGGTGGAGTCGTCGAATCGGTTGTTGAAGAAAAGAATGAAGCTGAAAAATTAATAGATAGAGAAAAAGTAATTATTTTGACACAGTATTCAAGTTTAGCATTGTTTAAAACTTGTATTGTTAGGTTTAAGTAGGCTGTTAATTTTTTTAAGATAAATAATAAAATAGCTGTTTATGAATCATTTTAATAATATTCTTTCAGTGAAAGTTGGTGTAAATGTCTGTTTATTAAATTAACATAATTGAATGCTCAAATTATATTTATTTCTGTTTGAAAATACTTTGGGTTTTATTACTTAAAATTATTAATGATAATTTACACTACATTTAGAAATATTAAATGTAACTATTTTTCATGAGCATTCTTTTCATTCTCATCATTCTTTAAGACTTTCAAATTATTTTTTTTTTTAATTAGGTTAGGGATTTTTTTTACGTCTGCCTTAGCTCATACGAGCTTAATTTAGTTTTAAATTTTTTTATATGAATTTTACTGCATGGGATTTCACTTTTAAATAAGCTTTGTGCTCCTTCAGATTACTAGTCAAAGATTAGCTTGTTATAGTAGTATAATTTATGTTAATAAGTTAATGTTACTGCATTAAGTTGTGTTATGTTTTCATTATACATTTTTTTTTTTTTTTTTTTAAATTTTTAGTTTCGTTAGCTCAAGTGTAATTAGTGAAGGTTAAGTTATTATTATTTATTATTTTAACTGTAACATAAACTTTTATGTTATTCTAAGAACTGCAGAGGTGCAAATAAATGCTTAAATAAAAGTTCAGTTTCTTCATGGCATATAATTTTAAAATTATTTCAAATTTTCATAAAAATCATTAAATCCAATTCAGGGAGATTATATGTTTATGTCAGGGTCAAAATATTTTCTTCTAATGTGTTACTTTAAAAATGTAAAAATAACGGAATTAAAGCTGAAGAAGAATAAATTAAGTAAACTTAAAGTGAGAAAATTTGAGAAGCAAAATGGTATCTTATTTTACATTGCATTTTTTTAATCAATCATTTTTCTTAGCAACTGGTTTCACAAGCTTTTCTTTCTCAGAAAGTGCTTTTATTTATTAAGATTATTTTGTATAATTGATGACTATTACAAACAAAAAGAAAAGTTGTATATACATACTTTGCATTCAACATATAATAGGTTATATTTATGATGTGATTGATATCAAAATTTTATCAATTATTTTTTCAAATCTTTGTAATGAAAAATTTAAATTATTTGAAGAATATATTGAATGTATGTTACTTAATGTTTCCATATTTGTAGTTATATATATTTTAATATTTATGTTTCAGACATGTCCTCTGTTATTGAGAGTCTTTTTGAACAATGGGCGCCATCATTCATTCACTGAATATACTCGAGGAAATGTTCCCTCTAATGAGCTTCAAATTTATACTTGGTATGTAAAATAAAATTCTCTATATAAAAGTACAACTTTATATTATACTATAATATAACAAAGTAAAGAATTCTTTTTAAACAGACTTCATTGCCAAACTGCATATTAAATACTGTTGTCATTCAAAAAGAAAACTTCCAATAATTGTTTTGAAGATTTAAAGTTAACTGACATTTCTATAGTATATGTTTTTGATTAGTATCTTCAGCAGCTCAAATAGATGAACAAATGCTTAATATGCATACAGGAAAATCCCAGTTTTCAGCATAAATTAGATTAAATAGTGATAAAAAAAGGAACTACTCTGATATGTGCCCTCAAGTCGGCAAATATTTTTGGCGAGAAACTTTACGCTGCCATATTACTATCTAAATTTTTTGTCTACATTTCGAACTTTAAGCCTAAAATGTCTCCAAAAACACGGTTTTCGCACATGCAAAAACTACGTTTCGAACACACGATTTAAGCTAAAAATCCGAAACAAAAACAAAAAATTTAGATAGCAAAAACGTAAAGTTTCTAACCAAAAATATTTGACAAGAATCCATGTACACAGCGACATGTTTTAACTTAAAAAAACATCTACGAATGCACACTGTAGGCAACGAACGAATCTACGAACTACGCACACCTCGCTTTAATAAATTAACATAACAACAATAAATTTCAAAGAATACCATGTACACAGAGTTCTGTTTCAACTTTAAAAAACATCTACGAATTGCACAATCTACACTAAAAACAAATCAAGAATATAAACTAAAATAAATTTCAGACAATTCAAAAAACAACAATAAAAACGGAAATTCATACCAAAAACAATGAGTATAACATTCTACAAAATAAAAACAATAAAATAAAATGCACTTACCATAATGAAAGCTTCTTTTAAAAGCAGAAATATCTTTCCCCCCTATCTTCTCAGATACAGAGCATGCAAAGTCCAAAATACATTCTTTAATAAAATTTCACCAGTCACACAACGTCTGTGAAGAAAACTTCCATGATTTTGCTATATCACATGCCTTCCTACGATTCAAAATTTCAAAAGTAACAATAAAAACTTCCTCCAACGTTAACTTGCTACATGAAAACCAAGATCCAAACCTTAAACTCCGCTGACACCCACATACTTTATTAGCAACAATTTTACTGCAAACCCACACAAGTCTATCAGAAACACCATTTTTCGTCCGAGTTCCCATATCAGCTCCGCATTTCGGACACGTCAAACTCCGTTTTAAAAGTCTCGACTCCCACAGAAATTCTAAAAATACACTACGATCTCCATACAGACAAGGTTATCTGATAGGTATTCCAGAAATATTGTTCAAATTAAAACTAAAGACAAGTGCATATCAGCTTCAGCGCGACAAGGGAATTGGTATCTTTTGAATGATTTTTTTTTATATTATTATTAAAGCATTTTCATCTACTTTTTATGAATATTATTAAATAGTTTTGTAAGACAAAATAATTTTAAGCTGAAAAAAAGTTTTTGCTAGTAATTTTTTTTATTTAAATTTTTGAAGAAAAATTTTACAATTAAAATGTCTTTCTTGTCCTACAATTTTCAATGTTGTCCCCCCAGTTGTTTTATTGTATTTATTAGAGTGTTCTTAATAACTTCAAGGAATGATTTTGCAATTAATGAATTAGTTTCTGAGAAAAAAAATAAAAATACACTTTTATCTAAAATCTTTAAAACAAATATGATCTCAGTCACATTTTAATTTCAAATCATTTTTCTTTTCAGTATTTTGCAAAACCCATTTTATCTATAAAGTATATAATTTTAAATAAGCAGTAAAAATAATAACTAATTTAGTCCATACCTGTATATGTTTTAGGACTTTAAGTAAAAGGATTTATCGAAAAAATGCAAAAGGTTTCTCAGTTTGCATTTGCATTTTAAAGAATACAAACTGTCTAAATAGACATTAAATCATTTCAAATTTCTTTAAAATTTTATTACTGAATTTCAATACACGCACATAAATATAAATCAAACCCAGTGCTATTTATTCAATTGGTAAATATAAACATAAATTACAACCCTTTTTTTTAAACCTTATCTGGCCAGAAAAATTGCAAAAAAAATCATAAAATGCAAGCAAAATTTTTCTTTACCTGTTTTTGTTTTGAAAACACGTTCAAAACAATTTTAATACGTTAATTAATTATAATACTGTTGCTTGCATACAGGTTCGTAATAGATTGATAATAGATCGTAAATGATTGTCATTGCACTCAAATCCGATGATAGCTTACTTAAATTTATTTTATCAACAGAAACACTTCAAAGTTTTGGAATTTTCCACAGAAATACTCATACAAGTGTTTAGAATATCAGTAAGTATAATCAGTAGTTATGCTTCAATCTAATAAGAACGTTAAACACAACGCAGTGCAAAACGCATATTAAGAGAAAGTTAACTCAGAAATATCTCCAATCTCATGCTGAACTAAAAACTGGCAGCAATAACAACTTATATAGTATAAATAATGTCATAAAAATAGTGTGCTATAAGGAGATTATTACTTTGAAACCGATGTTTCGAATTGATGCTCAAGAAGAACCAATATTTCCCATTCTGCTTCATTGCATATCTTTTAAAAAAGTAAAAAAATCATTCAATTAATTTCCTTTATCATTTTTTTAAACGCAACAAGTTTGTTTTTTAAGCTGTGAAAATGTCGGAAATTTGTAAACAATATATTTTTAGATATGAAATTTTAAAATTAATGGGCACCAAAAAGTCTAAAAATATGAACGATTTTCAAAAATTCTCCCAAAATATTTTTTTTTAAATTTCACTAAAAATTCCATTAATTTTTTCCCTCCACTGTGTCCTATTGTGCGAACTATAATATTCTGAGATTCTCAGTTTATTTGTTAATATTTGCAAAATTGTTTCAACTTTAAATTTGAAAAAATCTAATCCTCTAAAAATCAAAAGCGTGACACCTGATTCACAAGCAGTGTATGTACAAAGTTTGAGTTCTATACCTTATTGGGAAGCAGTTTAAAAATCCATGATCATCTTCAAGAGTGAATTAAATAGCAGCTTATAAAATAATAATAATAATAATAATAAAGCATATATTTTTCAGGAACCATTACGAAAGTTCAGGTACCAGTTGCGAAAGTACAGATTACAAAATTAACAACGGTAAACAACGTTAAAAATGTGTAATCAGTATTAGAAATCGGCCAATTCGAAGACGTGATTGTTCACAGAGGCTTAGGTGTAAAGGAAAGGAAGACGATGGTCTTCTGAACGTGTCCTAGAGACGAAACTCTTTCATGTCTCCTTTTTCTCCTCTTGCTAATGGCAGCTGTGCGAAGGAATGTTGCATGTGAATGTGGCTTATTATGTGGACAAATATTTTCAGTTTTTGTTTAGTATTATCGCGAAGTTGTTGTTTCATTTATGGTGATCTGAGTAGTTAAATTTTCTGTAAATATACTTTTACCTAGAATGGGGTGCTCCTTTGACTTTTTAAGTGAAAATGTATCGATGTGTACATGGACAAATTCAAGGGAGTGCACAATGCCAAGTTTTTGCTATTCTCTGATGAGTTGGCTACTAGCAGATCAGTACAATAAAGAAATTCACCACTTAATATATGTATAAGGAGTTTGCTTTTGATAACTCTAGATATGTGTTGCCAGACATTTTCAGTTTCTGTGTAGTGTAACTAATGCAATTTTATTCATTGCGTAAAACAAGAAAATTATTAATCTTTACTTTTGTCTGCGAAAATTACTATCCATTTCATATAGAACAAAATGTTACTTTCAGAAGACATTAAAGGATGCTATTTTGCAGCTTGAATTTTCCAGTTATATGCCAAATAATATTAGCTAAATTCCTGAACAAAAGAGCATCATGAACATTCCTAATTCTGTTTAGGAATACATCATATTGTTACGTTTTTCTTTTCTGACACCAGTTCGTAGATATGGAGTGAATAATGATGACACTTGATGAAGTATTGAAACACACTTTATTTACCAATACTAATCAGATAGCTCCAAAATCACTTTTACAGTCATCGAACTGTTATAATCACGCTGACACGTTACACGCTGACATTCAGCTACACAGCCTTCACACTGTCAGGCAATAACGGTGGAGACAGCTTCACTGCAAAGCACCCGAGTACAGCTTCCAACTCTGCTTGGTCATTCTCGGAACTCCACGTACTCTCAAGACTTTTCACGCGATGCACTCGACGATACACAAGAGTATAGATCGCGACTCAGCACAGTCTAAGACAAAACTCGCCGATGCACTAAAAGACTCTCTCGATGCACTTGACGACCAACTCAGCGTTAGACTTTGAGACACTCGCTCAATGACTGACTATCAGCTCGCTAGACAAGGCACACACACACACTGACTGACTGCAGACCAGCAGGATTTATATAGCTTTCGGCTTGTGTTCGAGAACATTCTGGGCCAAACCGCTAAAAATTCGTTCCAGAAGGTTCTCCATCTGTCCATGGTATATAACCAATTTTGGTGCCAAAAAGAAAATTTCTCGCCAAATGTGGCAGCCCTGCCTTCCCTTGCCATTTTATGGCAACCCTGAAACTGCTTTGCGGAGAAGCTATCTTACCGTGCCTGGACATTTCGTAACAATATGTTCGGATTAACCATCATTCCAATGCAAGGAATACTATGAGCTTTGTTTATTATCCTCAAAATTCAGTGTGCTCGTAAGATTACAGTATGAAAAACATAGCGTTGGACCCAAAACCCCAAAGATTTATCTACCGTGAAATTGTTGTCGATCAGCGCGATTTAGTGTCAAGTGTGGGTTAGTGTGATGTAATAACATACTCGTACCATTTGTGCTGTTGTTTGATGCACCGTCGACCGATTCTTAATAAGTAAGCCACATTTAAGTTTTTCAAACAAGGATATAAATTGAATATTATTGCTGCATTTTTTCTCTTACATTTTGAGAACAATGATTAAAACTTCAGACCT